GGCCGAGTTCCAATCCTAGTCGGGTTCGTTATATTCACTTGGGGTGTAAATGCATATTTTCCCCTCAGCTATGGGTTAATTAGTAAGCCTTGAATCATTAAATCCTTATTATCACCACCCGCAAAAATACTCCTATAATATAAAAATGAGGCCTCTAAATAACTTTCAGAGGGTTGATAAACCGTAAAACACGAATCAATCAAAAAAAAAGAAAGAAACTCTTTCTAAATAGTCGTCTATAATTTTTTTTTTAACATAACGCACACCAGAGTAGAAAACGCAACATTATTTTAAAGACTAAATGTTTTGGAGCGAAAATAAAACTACATCGTATTTGAAAGATTTTTATTGAATAATAATTCCTCTATGTTATTCTAAACCTGAAAGAGTTCAACACATCAAAATAAGAAGTACTGTAAATAAATAAAAATGATTTATTGATAATTCGTTTAGTTCTAAACCTACAAAATCTTTATTGTTCGCACCATCACTTGGAAGAAACAGACGTTTCATCATTGTGTTCAATTTGCTGATCAAATAAAATATCACCTCATTACCATTCATTGTGTTATTGATATTGTATTTGTTAAATAATTTCATCATTATATTTTTCCCCAACGAATTCTTCATCTTCAAGCACACCTTTATCCACTGAAGGGTCATATGAAAACCATTCTACTGCATCTAGTTATTTCAGTCCACCTATATGAAGGATTTGTTAATAGAAACACCGAAAACTTGTAGTCAACAAAACTACACAATAGCGAAGCCTATGCTACGTTCAATTTCTTTATTTCCCATTCTAGAATTGTTATACACCGAGTTATTTGAAGTGTTTTTCTATTTATTACATCTATATACTCAACAGTTATAATAAATTCACATTATGAATCAGCTCTGTTTTTCGTTCCAATTCCAAATCATTGTTCAGACTTTTTAACAATATGACATGTTAACGAATTTGATATGACCTCAATTACTCAATATAGAATAATACAAAATTGAAGCTGCTATATTATATGATAATTATATGTAACCAATAATGAACCTTTTTTTTTAAAGCATTTCACTACAAACAAAGCAGGAGTGCCACTATTCCAAATTTCCAGGAACCGGTTCTATAAAGGCAAGAAATTACTTTAAAAAAGATTATCTGAAATAAAAATCTTGTTAAAGAGCGATGTTTGAGGAAAGGATAAAGAGAAGGATGGGGATCAAGATCAAGGCATCGGAAGATGTCGATTGACATTACATTTGAATATTTGAAGATTATAGCCTATCAAAAGCAAGTGATAGGAAGGAGTTCCAATTAGAATTACAGAAAAAAGCTGTTGGGGTAGAAGAGGCTGTTATATTTGACTTTTTTGACAGTGAAAGTGTGAGACCAAGATGCCAACCTAGTAGCACGCAAATTCAAGGCACCAGTTAAAATAGGTCGTCAGAGCAGTTGCCATGAAAATATTTGTAGAAAAGACAGAGGGAAGCCACATCACGTCTGTGAGAAAGTGACTATAGACGAGATGTCAGAACAGGACATATCACATTGAATATCTCATTCGATTTTGTCGAGGACCTCGAGATGAACAGCTTGGGCACCAGAGCATATATAGTAATAGTATTCAATGCAAGAAAGAATGGTAGATTTGTAGATTTTAAGGATGGACTCAGACGAGAAAGTCATTCTGGCGACACAGAAACAAACCGAACAATGTAGTCACATCAAAGGAGTTTTATTATCAGAAATATTATATAACGTTCCACACTCAAACAAAAAATTTCAAAAAAAAAACGGAAAGAGCGATAAGAATTAATGGACTTGAGAAACGTATTCCCTTGCCGTCATCGGTAAGACGATCAGCTACATAAGCCGTTTTTAAAAAAAACAAAAATATTTCCAGAAATAAAAATCTTGTCAGCATTAAATAAAACATTGAGATTGATATGCAGTAAAAAAAAACAAAAAACAAACCAAAACATTATCATAACTAAAAATCTTGTCGGTGTTAAATAACCCATTATGCTGTAAAACAAAACAAACCAAACCAAAGCTATTATCAGAAATAAAAATCTTGTCGGTATTAAATAACCCATTATGCTGTAAAACAAAGCTATTATCAGAAATAAAAATCCAAACCCATTAAAACAAAACAAACCAAACCAAAGTATTATCAGAAATAAAAAATAAAAATTGTCGGTAAAAACAAACCAAACCAAAGTTATTAAATAACCCCATTATGCAAAACAAAAACAAAGCAAAAAACAAAAATAAAAAATCTTGTCGGTAAAATAACCAAAAAACAAAACAAACCAAACCAAAATAAAAAAAAAACATTATCAGTAAAAAATTATGCCGTAAAACAAAACAAACCAATTATTATCAAAGTGAAAATATTGTCGTTATATTATCAGAAATAACAATCTTGTCGGTATTAAATAACCTATTATGCCGTAAAACAAAACAAACAAAACCAGAAATATTAACAAAAATAAACATCTTGTCGGTATTAAATAATAACCCATTAAAATCAAATCAAACCAAACCCAAAGTATCATCAGAAATAAAAATCTTGTCGGTATTAAATAACCCATTATGCCGTAAAACAAATCTAACCAAACCAAAGCTATTATCAGAAATAAAAATCTTGTCGTTATTAAATAACCCATTGTGCCGTAAAACAAACCAAACCAAAACAAAAATATTATCTGAAATAAAAATCTTGTCGTAAAATAACCCAAATGCCGTAAAACAAAACAAACAAAAAACTATTATCAGAAAAATATTGTCGCTATTAATGACCCATTATGCCGTAAAACAAACCGAACCAAAACTATTATCAGAAATAACAATCTTGTCGGTATTAAATAACCCATTATGCCGTAAAACAAAACCAACAAAAAACCAGAAATATTATCAGAATTGAAAATATTGTCATAATTAAATAACCCATTATGCCGTAAAACAAACCAAACCAAAACAAAAATATTATCAGAAATAAAAAATCTTGTCGGTATTAAATAACCTATTATGCCGTAAAACAAACCAAACCAAAACAAAAATATTATCAGTAATAAAAATCTTGTCGGTATTAAATAACCTATTATGCCGTAAAACAAAACAAACCAAGCCAAAACTATTATCAGAAGTGAAAATATTGTCGTTATTAATGACCCATTATGCCGTAAAACAAACCGAACCAAAACTATTATCAGAAATATCAATCTTGTCGGTATTAAATAACCCATTATGCCGTAAAACAAAACCAACAAAACCAGAAATATTAACAGAAATAAAAATCTTGTCGCTATTAAATAACCCATTATGCCGTAAAACAAATCTAACCAAACCAAAAATATTATCAGAAATAAAAATCCTGTCAGTGTTAAATAACCCATTATGCCGTAAAACAAAACAAACCAAACCAAAACTGTTATCAGAAATAAAATAAAAAAACTTACAATTATAATATTAACCACATATCATTATAGGTTCATGGAAGAAGATGAAATAGAGTAAGGAAGTGTGGAAGGAAAACCTGAAAGTATAAGGAAGAAATGTTGAAAATAAGCACAGATAAAAAAAAAATGGAATAAAAAACCGTCGAGAGGAAGGAAGACATGTTAAAAATAAGAAAATGAAAGATGGAAGGAAAACCTGAAGGAAGAAATGATAAAATTAAGATGATTGGAAGGGAAACCTGAAGAGTGGCGAGCAGAAAAGAATGATACCAAGCAAGGAAAAACGGAATAAAAACCCGTCGGGAAGAAAGGAAAAATGATGAAAGAAAAGGAAGAATGGAAGGAAATCTTGAAGAGAGGAAAGAAGAAATGATGAAAAGAAACAAAGAATTATTGAGGGATATCATGAAGATAGGAAGGAAGAAAGGTTGAAAGCAAGGAAGAATGGAAAGAATCTCCGAAGAAATGGGAAAGAAGCAAAGAAAGACAAAAAGGAAAAAATAATTCAAAGACGATATTTCCTCCTTTTTTTGGGAACAAAAAGTGAACTAAAAATAAGGAGGGTTTCAGATTGAAGATACGAAGCAAAGGAAAGAAGTAAGAAAAAATAAAACAAAAAGAAAGAAAAACACATTCAAAGAAAGAAAAAAAGAGGAAAGAAGGAAGCTCCGTAAGCAGGAAGCAATAGGAAAAAAGAAAGAAGGAAAGCAATATGAAAAGAAAGAAAGAAAGCAATATGAAAAAAGAAAAAAGAAACAAGTAACGAAAGAAGTTTGAAAGAAAATTGAGCAATGTTGTACAGCAACAAGTAGAGAAAATGAGATTTCAACAATGTGTAGGTTTTATTGGCTGAAAATGAATTGCAATACATTCTCTAGCCAATCAAATTAAAGCTCTTTTTCTTAAATTACCGGTAGAAACTATTCTATGAGACGAGTTATGTTCGATGTTGGTAAATAAAATTATTATCATATGTATTGCTACCTTGAATATTTGAATCCTTATATAATACTATCTATGTTTTTGTCAGTTACCATTATTAATTGTTATATTAGATAGCATGGTAGCACAATGGCTATTGGCGTGGAAAAATGGTATAGGCATGCAGAGTTCAAAATCCGGCTTTCGTATTATTCCCCTTCGGAAAGGCATGAAATCATTAGAGTTTGAATATGAATTAAAAAGAGGAGGACTACTGTGAATTCTGAATTCAAAGCCGTGAAGAAGGCAACGTGAAACCACTCCACTAAATTCCCCGCGAAGTGTCAATTCAAAGATCATGAACAAAAGGTGGATTTGGAGAGCCGTGGAAAGTTATGGTATTAATAAATTCACCTTGGCTTTATTTCGGAAAATAAATTTAATTTATTAACCGATAATGAATGACGATCTAGTCTTTCCTCGATAATATTTCATATTGTTTTCTATAACTCTAAATAAAAACGTCGAAGGGACCCACATGTGCATCAAAGTCAAGGAACAGGATGTCACAAGACGCGCATCGGCCTTTTTTATCAGTAAGGGAGGTTTAAAAAAAAGTCTGTATGAATTTGAATACAGAATTTAATTTTTCGTATTTCAATTTTGTTTGTTCTCCTTTTCTCTCTCTCTCTCTCTCTCTCTCTCTCTCTCTCTCTCTCTCTCTTCTCAATTACTCCAGTATATGTCTATATTTCTGAGATGATTTATTATGTACACTATTTACATTGTTTGGACAATCATCCTCGTCTTTGTTGCCATATTTATCACAACGTTTCGGCCGTTGTATGCTCCGACCTTCTTCAGGTGGTTGAAATATTGAACTGAACCCATTATTTCGCTCACTGGGGTACACTGTTCTAGTTCCTCGCGCCATGCTTAAAGGGTGTCGGTTATCTGTTATCCCCTGTTAATTCCCCTCTCCAAGTTCTCTTAACTTACCTTAACCAGGTATTGAACTCACACTCTTTGGGACCTGTCACTGGATCTAACTAACGTCTTTATCCACTGTGCGGTGTGTTTGTGAGGAAGGCCGGAGCGTACAACGGGCGAAACGTTGTGATAAATATGGCAACAAGGATGTGAACGATAGCCCGAACAATGTAAAATGTCTCAATTACTCTTTTTTTTTCTCTCTTTCTTTTCTCTATTTCTTTGCTTTTTCATATCTTTATTTATTTATTTCTTTTTTTGTTTCTGACTTCACCTTTAAACTTTCTCGTTTCGTCACTATTTCCTTCCTGTGTGTGTGTTTTTTTTTTAGTTTTGTTTGTTTTTTGCCTACATTTCTGCCTTTTCTTTTCCTCTTTCCTTTTACTTTTTCTAACTCTCCTTTTCTCCACCTCTTTCGCTTCCTTCTTTCTCTCTCTGTTTCTCTCTCTATCTTTCTCTCTATCTTCCTCTTTCTCTTGTTTAGCTTTTCTCTTTCTTTCTTTGTCTCTTAACCCTCATCTTTACCATTTCTTTCATCCTTCTCTCCTATTTCTCCTCAGAAACAACAAATCACCAACCGACACGACAATCGCTCGAAATAAAGGTGACTCCACTTCGACTAGATCTAATGTCAGTCTCCTTTTCTTTGGCTACATAGCTATGGTTGAATAAGCTCACCTTTTCAGATATATCTTCGTCAACTAGTGGTAAGTATTTACCTTTACATGGCTTCTTCACTCCCAGTAATATAATGACGAGAGATTTATATACACGTATAGAATTGCTAAGTAAGCTTGATTTATTTGGGAAGGATATTAGAATAATTAAAAAAAAACTATACTGGGAACAAACCGCCTGCATGAATGTAGAAAATGAATTCAGTAAATACAATAAAAATAGAAAGGGGCGAAAGACAAGGGTGTGTCTTCTCACCGGATTTATTCAACCTTTATACTGAAAGAATCCCGATGAAATTAGAAGTCCTACCAGAATTCATTATTTGCGGCCGCAATCTTAACAACATTAGATATGCAGAGGATGCTGTCTTGATAGCAGACACAGAAAAGAAACTACAGGAACTCCTACTGAAGTTAATAAAGGAAAGCAAGAAGAAAGGACAAAGCATCAACTGTAAAAAGACAATGTATGTTAGCAAAAGAAACAGCCCAATATGCGACTTTAAAATTGGAGATGCCAAAATTAAACAAGTGCTAACATTTAAATATTCAGGAATTGTTTTAACAGGGGAATGGAATGTGCAACACTGAAATCCGAAGGCACATTGGGGGAACGAAAGGTGCCTCCCAAATTTGGGGCCATTTATGAAGAACAGGAAATCTCATTGGAAACAAAGAAAAGCTTACTGAACAGTTATGCCATATTGGTCCTCCTATATGGCAGTGAATTCTGGACAATCTCTTCCCAGATGAAGAAGAGATTTGAGGTAACAGAAATGCTGTCCTACAGAAGGATGCTGAGAATACTATGAACTCACCCCTGAATAGCGATGAAGTTTTAGAGAAAACGGAAACAAAGGATAGTTTTACGTGACATCAGAACGAGACACTTCAAAATATTCTGGGTACATAATGAGGACGGGGGGGGTATTGGAAAATTTGACACTCGCAGGGCATATTAACAGCAAGATGAATTCAGTGAATAATCCACATGTTGAGATTGTATAAATGGTTGGTAGAACAGGGGTTATAAGGAAACGCTGAAACTAAAGCTGCGACAACCTTTTAGAGAGCTATGCAAACGAAACCTTTAGTAATTCGTACAAACCAAGCCTATGATTACCTAGGTTGTTGTACAAGTGAATTCGGCATGAAGTAACCTGATAAGGTTAGTATGCAAATCAAACCAAACCATGTTTTTTTAATCATTCACTCCAATCAAGGCAACAAGACCAACATGACTTTTGCTACTGCCTGTGAAAGAATATAAGAAAAAAAAAACATTATTTAGGAACAAGAACAATAAAAGAATACAGATTAAAAAGACGGTTACATCTAGCCAATTCAAATGTAAAATGATGAGACCTTGCCTTCAATCTAGTCCTGCGTTTAAATTCATCAAATCTAGGTGCTATAGTGGATAGTTCATCAAAACAATTACTATGAAAGTACTCATTAGAAAAGGTACAGGGAAGAGATGTTACGACAGTGGCAAAGTGACTGAAGCCAAGATGCCAGATCAGGACTAATAACATTGCCGGGTCTTCTTTTTATATTATTTACATTATTCGGACTATTGCCCTCATCTTTGTTGCCATATTTATTACAAGGTTTCGGCCGTTGTACGCTCCGACCTTCTTCGTACAACGGCCGAAACGTTGTAATAAATATGGCGTCAAAGATGAGGACAATAGTCCGGATAATGTAAATAATGTACATAATACCTCATCTCAGAAATAAATACAGACTCTTCTTTTTATTTTATCAAGAATCTCTAAAGATATAGCAGGAGCACCAGACCAGATGTGGGATAAGCATAATTTTGAAATTTTATTCATTCAAATCAGTCTAAATTTCATGTTCTCCATTTCCCTGTCGGCTAAAGATATTTTGTCAGTAGAATCAACGTTTCTGCATTCAACGATGCTACTCTAGTTTATATTTCACGTCAGAAAAGGTGATAAAGCCGCTAAGACGCAAGGGGAGGAGTTAGTAAATATGAAAGACTATGAGAAAAATCAAATATTATAGAGAGAGGACAATGAAAGAACAGACAAAAGGATAAAAGATAACGATTGCCTTTGCATTTAAATTTTTTATGATCAAAGTTGAAGGCAAGAAGCCAGAAGAGAGCTCGACAAGCACAAACTAACAGAGAAGGAACTGTTAGCATAGAACTTACAGTACAATCTGGTCATTTCAAATGTTAAATGATGCGACCTATCTGCCAATATTGTACTGCCCTTAAATTGGTAAAGTCCTGGTACCAATGACGATAGCTCGTTGGAACAATTACTATGAAAGTATTTATAGGAAAGGCACAGGGAAACTACATTACGTTGGTGGGGACGTTACTGAAGCCGAGATATCGGGTCAGGGTAAAAAAGATTGCAGAATAAGCATGCTCTTCCCCTGTCTATAAAGTGTTATGATAAGGTGACATCGATATTAAATCTTGTTAGCGACAGAACTTCAAAGCAGAATTAGATTGATTTCCTTCTCAGAGACTGGTTGCCAGCCAAAGCTATAGGGCTCAGTCCTACAATTTACCCATAGATGGGGGGGAGAAGAGATAGATAGATATCTTTTACAAAGGTATTTGTGCATAAGAAAATGTACCCAATCCGATCGGAATTCGACCTCGGCTATCCCTTACACCACCGCACATCCACCTACTAACCAATGACGCTGGCTGTAAACAAAACAATAACGCTGTTACAAACAATGATTGATTGATTGTTTTGTGGATTTATTGAACGCCGAGGCATATTAGTAAAGATAATAATAACAATTTTTTTAAAGATAGCATATATTTTTTCAGATACATCCGTAGACTGGGTGTGTAGAGATGGCTGCATATATTCCCCGATGTTTTTTGTGCGTAAGTGAATATAAAGAACCAGGCAGGATTTAGAACTCGTCACTCCGATTCGAGCTGATAACCATTACACCACCCGCACATCTCTGTTATAATTGCAAAATCAAGAATTCATTTTTTATGGGAAAATTTCACACGTAGCCATATTCGACACAAAAATTTAAATCACATTTAAGTTTTAAAAACTGTCGCTCAAACTTTTTATGACATTCCTGTGATAAACACACACAAATAGACACTTACATATATGTATTCGCATATGTGTGTATGTGTGAGAGAGAGAGAGAGAGAGAGAGTACAAACATATATCTACGAATATATTTATGGGTACAGAGAAAAGAATAAAGAAAGAATTGTATATATATATATATATATATATATATATATATATACAGGGCGCGATGGGTAATATATATATATATATATATATATATATATATATATATATATATATATATATATATATAGTTTATGACTCGTACATGCAGATAAAAATGTCTACGTCGGCTTGTCTATATGAAAAAGAATAGATGCACATATATGTTTATGAGATGAGACATCTTTCCTTCAATTTATTATTACCGGACACAATTTTAACATTAATGGCACTGCGTTGATGGCAGACAAAATGAAAACTTCATGACCTTCTAAAAAACTAGTAACGGAATATTATTAAGATGAAAGACCAAAGTTTTCTTTTAATTATTTTATTAATTTTTTAGTCCTTTCTAGCACGTTCGAAATATTAGCTAAATATCTTGTTTTTCTTGTGTCAGCACGTGGGTCAAAGATTCATATGGGAATTTTCGCTTTCTTCTTAGATTAAACTAACAGATATTATCTGTTCATATTGAAAGAAGACTGTAAATTAATTGAAACAAAATGATTCCGTTATTATTTACTTTTTTCGTTTTTTTTTCCAATGAAACATGACCCAGGGCACATGTTACTACTTCGTATGTCCATTCCACGAAGTCGTTCTGTGGGGAAAATAGAAATGTCTTACCTCCCAAACGCCCTCGCGTCTGTCTGGCCTGTGGGTTGAGAAAGGAAAGAAAGGGTCCAAGATGGCATCCGTGACTTTTTAATATTCACGGTCTCGTGCAGTCACGCAAAGTCGCGTTACACGCATGCTAATGAGTTGTGTCTGGGCTCCATAAAAGCAGGTCGCTTGGAGAAATTGGCAGAACGGCATTACACCCGTGTTTGGTGTACATTGCTTTGCGTTGCAGCGTGTCAGACATTTTCCGACGGAAAGAGTTGCGTCCCTTACACTCTTGAATTTGACCCCTTTGCTACAAGCTATTTCGGCCATTATTACAACATGGACAGATTCGACTTGAAGTTGATACCAGAGTTCGACGGCTCCCCCGCTGGCCCGTCTGTGGTTGAGTGGTGGGAAAAGGCCGAGCGGGTCTGCCGGCTGTGTAAAATCAAAGATCCCGCACTGGTCATCCCTCTGAGGCTCACCAAAGGAGCTTATGCTGTGTATCAGCAGCTCAGGGATGACGCAGACTTGGAGGAAATTAAGCAGGCTCTATACGCGGCATTCGGTGCGGACCCCTTTGTCGCCTGGAGGCAGTTCACCGAACGGCGGCTTGGGCCCGATGAAACGGTAGATGTCTTTCTGGCCGATTTGAGGAAGCTGGCCGCACCGTTCGGTGGAGTAAGCGACCAAATCCTAGGATGCGCCTTTCTGGCAAGACTCCCAGACAACGCCAGTCGACTGCTACGAGCATCATCAAGGCTCAATGAGCTGGGGCTAGACGAGTTACTGGCCAGAGCACGGAATATTCTGAAGGACGACGCGGAGCCGGTCTCAGCAGCTGTGGAAGTTCCCGCACCGCCAACTGAGGACACAAGGTGCTATAAATGTGGCGGACTGAACCACTTCTCCAAAGACTGCCGAAGCCGAAGGATACGCATCACCGAGGAACACGGAGACGTATGCGTTGCTACAGGTGCGACAAGCTGGGCCACGTAGCAAGAAGCTGTCCGGGAAACGGGCAAGGGGAGTAAGCTACAGCGCCAGTCTTCTCCCCAGATCGCCGCTGAACAAGGCGCTACCCGCAGTGAGCGTGCGGATTAACGGGCGTGAGCGCTTCGCGCTTGTAGAC